CTATCAAAGAGTGATTTGTAAAAAAAAAAAATTTGTAGAAAAAAATCATAAAAAAAATCCGTGAGTTCGGATTCGATGTGCGTACATATTTCAAAGAATACACTCGTACAAGTCAATATAAAAACTGGAAGTAAGAAAATTAACAAAGAACTTAATTACGAGTCAGTAATTTAAAAATCCATTCATTGTAAAATAAACAAATTATAAAAAGTCTATCTCTATCTGTACAGATAATTGCAAAATAAAAAGAAAATGAGTGACACATATGCATACATATAAGTGTAATGGCAAAAGTGTAATGACAAATTAATGATTAAACAAATAATTAGATAATTTACAAGAAACTCGATCAACGTGAGATTTTAGGTGGTCTTGGCCGTCGCATACACGGAGGTCGATAATGTTCAGCTATCACTTGATTAATCGCTTGATTAAAGGTCGCCAGCCAAGAGAACCTTTAGGTTACCATCGCCTGCTCGAAGCTAATTAACTCTCGACATGCGCGACAAATCAATCGAGTGGCAGAGTCTTTCAACCGGTCTCAAATTAGATCCGTACGGAAGCATCACGCGCGAGAGGATATTGAACCGAAAGCGAGATGACAAAGTTCTAATGAACGCGGAAGACTTGTCGATTCGCGTTACAAAATGATTTGATTACTACAACTTTGTAATAAAAGGAATGAATATTTATTAAACATTATTCTATCAATACACTTTGAAGTTATATTCATATGATGAAATGAGAATGAACGAAATTTGTGAAGCGTGCAATTAAATATATGATAGAACCTCATTTATTCATTTATATTCGAGAGAATATTATTTCCCCATAATTTTGATTTATGATTTAATTACTGAAATATTTAATGCTGAAAGACTAGTTGCAGCAAATAATTTTGTTCAACAACTTGTTTGTAAAAAATTAATATTAGATTTATCGTTAAAATTAAGATTAGAAACTCTTTGAACAGCTTGCATATCTTTAATCATCGTGTTATTTTACTCTCTAATATATTTCTCAAATTTAGCCTCCCTCTTAAATTTTTCTAACAAACTTTTACGTAAATTTCTCAGAAAAATGTGTAAAAAATTGCGCGAAAGGATAAATTAATAGCGCGATGCAATGGATTAAATTTACAAAAAGGAACGCGTTTTCCTTCTACAGAAATCGCAAAAGCTCTCTGACGCCAACGCTTTATGCTACGGCTTAACTATCCTTTGATATTATCTCCTACAGTACCTCTACTTTGTCTCTACCAACGACTCTTTACGGCCGTAAAGGTCCTGTACTAATACAGAATCGAGGTTTGATCTCTTTGACGAAAAATACGAGCTAATTGGCGTGTATTCCACCGCGGTGGCACCGGCGTTCGTTAGTCACGATATTCCCAGGAGACGAGCCAGATTCTGGAGAATCGCTTTGAGGCCGGAATTATTGTCTTTTGTGTTATTTCCTACCAAGGCGACCATGTGGCTCGGCCAATTCGCGACGATAATTGCAATCTGCAGCATCTGCTATCCTTTACCTATCTTGTGTAATTATGCATTCGCGGCGAAAGATCTCGCGGCAAGATATATGCACGGTTCACAACGCGAAACATTAAGTTATTCACCTTTGGCGTCTACAGCATTCATGTCCGCCTACCTTACGTTTGTCTTCGAGGAAAGGAAACAGATATTCTTCGCGATATCCCGTACACCGCATTATATACTCTAACCCGGCTGGAGTGTTATCGTGAAATTATTTGTAACATGATCTCGTGTACCTTTCTTGATTTAACAAGTCCTTGATATACCATGCTGTTAGGTGTTCCTTTTATTCAATCAGTCTGTCTGTAATTACCCCGGAGCGAACGGATACGGCGTGGCTTCGCATTTCTAGGCGATACCAAATAACTCTCTCACCACCTACCGATGCATTTCAACAATTCTACGTGTAATAACGTAGTACAGACGTGTACAGACGTGTACATCTGTGTACGCGCACGGCGGCACGGTTCGAGATGTACCGGTGTAACTACGCTAAACACCGCCTAATGAACGCATACGGGCAGCTCTTTGGCACAAAGGTCCTCTCTCTGCTTTATATAAAGCACGAGTGAGTTATTTACATTGTGGTCCACAGAATTTCAAGCCGCGTGAGATTCTAATGAACCTTTACCTCCCCCACCCGCCTGACGGCACCACCACTCTTCCTATCCCCTTACACGCATCGTCCGACCGAATGAGTTTGATCCGTTAGAGTGTCGAGCCGTTAATTAATTAAAATCCTAAAGTAAAATCCGCATCGCGAATATTTTAGATACCTCGAAAGCTTTATGAGGAAAATACTTCAAACTTCCTGACGCACCCCACTCCCCGTCCATTCGCCCCGCGTCTACGTCCACCCTCGGGAAACGGGGATTCATTGCGAATAGCTGTAGAACCTTCGCCGCACGAATATTTACGAAGGATGGCCGCGAATGCGGCAAAAAAAAGGAATATTTAATGAAATGTACGTACGTCAAGAGAGGAAAAGAAAGAAGAGATCAGAAAAGAGATGCCACGGAAATCATAAAAATACCGCAAACCAGAAAATCGTAGAATTTCAATGATCAGCGTTTAACCACCACGCGTTCAATTTCCCTTAGCAATTCGCGCTGACTCGAATATTTTTTGCAGTCGAAGTCACTAGCTCGTAATTAATAGATTTGCATTGTATATTTCCGGATATTGTGTTATAAATTCATATATCAGAAATCCGAGAATGTCGGAAGCCAAATCACAGATTAAAATCAACAGAATAAAAATAATGCTGCATTATTTAAAAAAAATTATTTATAATTTAAAAAGTAAAACTACATTATATTATAACAATCGGTGTAAAATTATTAAATAACACTTAGTTAATTTTATAATAAACGCACGGAAGTACTGAAACGCATCAAATTTATTTTTCTACCAAAGTTATGTTGATCGAGTTTAAGCGATTCTATTTTTAATATTGCATTGATAAATATAGGTATGCTATATTTGTGCAATATTGAAATGCGTGAATCATGCGCAAGCAAAAATCTATTTTACAAACTGATTGTTCGGTAGATAGTATAGATTTGTTCGCGTATAATAGCAACGTAATGCACACCAAAATCACGAGACTACATTCACGGACGGCTTATGAATACTCTGGCAACGACAACAACCACTTTTCGAGATAACCTTCAGTTCCCTAATCTCCGTATTCGTCCACCCGTATTCTCCACCCTTTCTACGGTCCATTATTCCCTCCTTCTCTTTCTCTCTTTCACTCTTCCTCCTTCTCTCTTTCTCTTTCAAACTTGAGTTTAAGGTCTTTTAACGACTAAATGTCGTCTTCATGTCCAGCCGAGTAATTACGAATATGAATCTCAAGCTTTGAGACTCGCATGAGATTTTATTTGACAGAGTTGCCATTGTATATTGCATAATATAAATCGATTTAATACTAAAAACTTTGCCGTACACTATTCAATTTATTCATTCTTCAATGAGAAAGCAATACGTTTTAATTAATGGAAATCAATTAATACAATCAAAAGACGAACAAAATTGCTTTGTGTATTTTATCGTTCGCCGTGCCCATCGAAGGAAAGAGGTGCAATTGCGTAGTAATTAATTACGCTCTGTAACTCGTTAAAAGTGTTCGCAAAGTGCCGATAATCAACCATCAACAACGCGACGCGAAGATATACTTTTCTTCTCGTTTTTCTCGACGACGCTTATTACCGGTGACTTCTATCTAAGATGTTAGTTTCCAAGATCCAACGCAAAAGGAAAACGTCTTAATTAGACGGGAAGAACTTTAATTAGATAGTACGTCTAAATGACATACTAAAAAACGACATTTATCGAACGTAAACGTAAAATTGTAAAAGATAAAAAAAAGAACGTAAAACAATACATTATCGCAAATTTAGGCGAATATTTCCAAAAATGTTACACTTTATATTTACAAATAATAAATTTTTTTGAACAAAATTTAACGCTAAATTCTTAAGCAACATGTGAAATTCTGTCCCACAAAATCGCCAATTAAGTTGTTACATGACAATGCGTAATCACAGTGTAATTATCTTTTTGTGTCATACATTCCGCCCTTATCCACTTAGCTCTTCAATTATCAAGCTCAACTGTTATGCGCGCAGTTTGCGGCGCCCCGATAAACTACCCTCGAAAATCTCCAGCCTGGCAAACGCCAACCCCGAAAAATACGCCGACCACGAAGGCTTAGCATTTCGGGGGTGGTATTATCCGCGAGTGGTGGCGGGCAAATCCCCAGTTAAGCACGGAGCAATGCTTGGCTGAAGCAGATTGGTGGAGGAGATCAGTGAAGTGGGCAGCGACGACCCTGTGCTTCCTAGCTAAGTTTAATCAGCCGTACCTATCCTGAGCCGTGCTACTATCCACGGCTGCAGCTTGGCGCAACGCACTTAATGGCACCTATCCTCGCGAGGAATTGATGCGACTGGAAACTCGCTGTAAAATCCGCCGCTAAACCGCGGGACAAAGTTGCGCTCCGTGTCGTCGGACGAATGAGTGCGCATTAGCTAGTACGCCGTGCGAGTTCGAGAAGCACGACCCCGATATATCGTCGCTGTATAAAGTTCCGCGAACTTGTGGATCAGACGATCGAGTCACCGCCACGAGCGCTTCTACGCGACTGACTCGGGCGAAATGTAAGAAGATCAATTCCGCAAAAGTACTTCGTTATCATATTATTTATATTTCATCACGAGCTATGTATATAGAATATTGCATATTATATAGATAAGAATAAAAATCTAAACACTTTTACAATAGGTAGAATCAGCAGATAACTAAAATTATCAATAAAATTATTCTTCGTGTTATAGATATTCTATTCTCATTTTATATTAATGTACATATATTTCCGAAAATAGTTGCGATAAAAAAATGAAATTTTGGAGTTGATCTTTTCTCGCACAAATATACTCGATTATAATTTTAGAAAGTACTTACCGTTGTTGATTATTATTAGCGGTAGGCATAGGAGTCGGCACTCTCGGCGGTGGAACTGGTATAGCTTTTCTTCGGCCTCCACCGGTTTGATGCACTGTCGGTGTAACTCTTCCAGTTGGAGCTATTCGACCGGCGGTCCGTGGTCTTTCCGTTCGCACTTCCATAATGTGTATCTATAAAACATAAAATAAAATATTGTTATTAGAATTTTTTTTATTAATTATCGTATTGTGATATCTTAAAGAACATAGTAGTGTAAAGTAGATTCAACTTGTACAAAAATATTTTTTATATAAAAGAATAGTTATGCTATATTTATATTGATTATTTGAATCAATAGTTAGACATTTTGTAGCCAAGAGCAAAGCGTATTAACAAAGCATCAAGAAATTTAAATGAATAGAAAACTCGCTACCGGCGAGTTTGGCGCAAAAGTATCGCTTTTCCGTAACTTCGGCGACGCCGAAGATCATAGAAATGATGATAAACTTCGAAAAGAGTGAATGTTTGGAAAGGACTGACAAGAAAAACGAAAAAGAGGCTAGCGGCCGGCACGACTACCAATGTAAAAGCTAAAACTTCTGCATCACGGTGTGTGTGCCGTCGACTTTGCAGTTTGCCTCTCTCTTGCACGTCTGTTTCCCTTCGTTTATTCAAACTAGTTTAACGGATCTGGATACGATTCTCTAGCGTTACGATTAACTCTAGGAATACCATAAAATACACAACAAATATTTGAAAGAGAAAGTCAAATCAAATATACACGTGTGATGATCCTTCTATCCTTAAATTTGCCAACAATTAATTGATTAAAATAAATAATGAAAAGAAAATATAGACTAAAAGGTAAAATATAAAAATACTTCTACAATAAATTTTATCTACAATCAAACTTCAATGTCTACAATTTCTACCCGAAAATTATGCTTTAAAAAAAGAGAAGAATTTTTCGTCCACGATGCAGATAAAATCGTGCAGCGAAGAAAACACGCAAACGACAGCTTCCATATTCGACCACCCCTTTACCCACCGTTGACGGAAGAAAGAAGCGCGCCCGTACAATCTCGACGATAGTGCAACATTGTTGTCCCGAATGCTTTAGCATCGTGGACGCGAAGGACGCGGACAACGCCGGCAAAGGAGGATACAAGGAGAAGGAAAGAGTGGAACGACGACGGTCGGTGTGATCATTATTTTCCGACGTGTGTAGTCCACCGAGATGAGGATCCTGCAAAACAATGCGCACCGGCAAGTTGGTTTAAATATTCAGCCTCCGGCACGGATATCCGCCATTCGCGCTCGCGCGCGCACGGATGCAGCAACTTGAGACGAAACTGTGTATAAAAATAATAAAAAGACAAAGAAGATATTTTCTCAGCGACTCAATGAAAGTAAAAGCTATAATTGAGTTAAGATAATAAAATAAAAAATTATTAGAAGATGTGTAAAGAAAAATATATACAGAGATAAAATGGAAATTATTAAAAATTTTCTTTTCAAATAATCAAAAAAGATACTATTTTAATACTTTTCTATCTCAAAATGCCGTATAATCCAAGAATAATATTTCAAATTTCTTCTAGACAGATGTAAACAAGTGTTATAGTAATTAATAATTCATGTATAATGTGTACCGTAGAAATTAAACAGGAAATGTAAATTAAATTATGCTTGTTCACGGAAAAAAAATACTTTTCTACATTTTCAAAATAATTACTTATTACATTGTTTGAAAAAATTCAATCTCCCATTAAAACTGTCTACTGCGCTACGCTTATGCTCTCATAATTTGCGCGTCTCGCATATTTGCTCTCGTATATGAGCATGAAGATTTCACGATTTCATGGGTTCGCGCGCAAAAAAATTCGTTTCACTGCACAAACGCAAAATATCGCGATGTCGGACGACTGTCAGAGACAAGCCGGGAAAATAAACTCTCGAGCGACGGAGCGGCACCGGTGGCGGCTTCACAATGCGGAGAGCATCTGCTTAGCAAATTGCGAAAAATAATAACGTTTGCGCCCAAATCCGTGGCCCGGAGCGCCGTAGGAGTCTGCGACGAAGCTACCGTGATATACATCGTAGCACAATAACGCCCACTCGCAGAACTACGAGTTCAGAGGAGGGTGAATGCAAATGCGGGCGACGAAAGGAAAGAGGGTGAGAGGTGCAAAACGAGCGCCGTGCAAGCTCCCCTTCGCTGTACCGCGAAAACAATATGTCACGCATATACGTAAAAGATCGCGTACACGCTTACACGTGTGCTTGTCACGCATGATACCGAGTCATCCAGCCGAAGGCGATTCCGGGACTTCTTTGAGACCCTTACTTCCGCACCTTTGACGGTGAATGCATCGCCATCAGTCATGCACATATCCTGTCGAGGATTCTGTCGCGAACTTGGAAGTTTCCGAATTAATGCCGCAAGTGATCCGCATTAAATCATCCAGCATTAGGGATTTCTATTTCACTAAGCTTCTTCGCCTCGCAGAAGTATATCAACAGCTTAGCGCGCATATCCATTTAAAATTTAGATAAGTATTAATCCAATACCTCTCAAAAACAGTCTGGGAAAAATATTAATAACAGTATGAGATAAATATTAATAACAATATTAATAACAGTGTGAGATATATTGCTAAAAGAATTAAATAATATCGATTTAATATTTTTTAACGATTTAAATATATATTTTCTGAAATATATTATATAAAATGATATTTGATTAAAGCATCTGTGCACTATATTGTAATAAGAGTACATTTGTTTCAAAGGATGATGATCGAAATCAAAACAACGCGCAGTTTCATTGATAAAATTTAATGCATCGTTCGCTTTATCATCGTAAATTAGAGAAGTACGCTCATCTAAATTATTGATCCTCCTATTGCTCGCGTTTGGTGAAAACGGACATAGGCAATGTTTAATGCGACGTAATACGCTGGCATGACTAATTCGTGCCATTATTATCGACGCTAATCGCCGTCTATCTGTGAGGATAATGAATACCGCAAATTAATAACGTTCGATTGACACGTAACGTCCGAGCTTCATCCGCCGAACGACGTGCACATTGTGTTCCTAACAAGAGCGCGCCCTCCAGTCCCTCCAACTCTTTCATCGACACGCGTGTTACACGTTGTTCGTTACGCGTGCACCTTCCGGCGAAAAGCAAAAAGCGTCATTAAGGAGAAAAGATTTTTTTTTTCTCTGACAAGCGGAATCAAACCCGAAGAATGGCTCACGTTTGACGGAAACGTATCCGTTTAATATATCATGATAGATTAATTCCTGCACTGAATTAATTCGTCCATTGATGCTAATTGTTCACCATCTATCATTGCAGATTGAATATAATAAATTAATTATGATCAATTAACATATAATATTTTTAAGCATGAAATGCACATTTCACAGACTTGCAATTCTTTTATACGCGCTCACTTATTAAAACCTTTACCTTCAAAAAGTGGAAAAGCGATATTAACACAAAAGAAAGGTGCGTCATTATTGAAAGGAAAATTGTCCATACTTATTGTCAAACACGCCGATCATGTATGATGCAGAATTATACATTAGCTCGATTATCTCTCCAGCATTATTATCAATTCCAATCGCCAGGAGCGAATACGACAAATTAATAACAGTCGATTGACATGTAATATTCCTAGCCAGAATGCATTTTGCAGTCTCCTAATTCCTCTTTATCCGCACATTAGCCGTTCATAATGCGCGCATTTTCGAGGATCAGAAAAAAACGTTGTTAACAAGTGAGAAGAAAGACTAAAAAAAAATATATTTTGTTTTTTACGTGTGCGAGACCGAGATAGAGGAAGAAGGAAGGAGGAGAACCATATTCAAAGGAAAATTTATCGACGATATTTCCCAACCAGCGACGTCGGCATCGCGCAGCGTCGGCTTCTGTCGATTCCTATTAATCATCAACGCACAACTGCGCGTACCCATATCAACACACGACCGAAGATACATGCCGAGAGTTTCTCATGTCGCGACGCGATCGCCATATGTGACCACGGTCCGACGTTCTCATGGCGATCGCATATCGAAGTATCACGTGCGCGACACGCGTAACTAGTCTTCCCTCTTACTCTTTTTTTCATCTTTTATAATTACATCTTTGCGTAGCCTCGGTCGCGAGCTAATAAATCAATGCAAATAGCGTTATTAATAGACAAATCGAAATCAAATATGTCAAAAAGTAATTAAACTGAAAAAAAAACTAGGATTTTTAGCTTTTGACTTATGAATCGGAAATATCTGAAAATTAGAAAATATTATCAATAATAAAAAAGTAATTTTAACCCAAAATTAATTTCAAATAGATTTTATAGGAATTTAATTTGATGCTGATTAAAGTGTAATCTGCGAATGAGTGTTACTGAGATATAATATTAAATAATATTAAAAATTAACGCGAATATACAACGTTTAAATTTGAATTTTATTTTAAAACATTCTGATTAATATTCACAATTATTAATTGCATAACAATTACTTATAACGCAGCTAGCGTACATGCGATTACTATCTTTCAACTGTATTCTTTGATGTCTCGTTCATTATTTTACTTATATAAGCATTTATCAGAGGAAAGTTTCCCGAAAACTGACACGGCTACAGCACGCGTAGGGTTTCCCCGATCCCTTGATGTTTGTTTAAGCAAGTAAATGATCTATGTATCTTGTCCGCGGTCCGAGACGGACGAGCAGACTTTATAAATTTGGGACAAATTAGTTTATCTTCGGGTAATGTTTACTATACATTGAAAAGCCAGCCCACCCACACACAGCTATATCAAAGGCTCCGCTAAAAATATAACGTGTTTCTCATCGCAGCATCCCTTCTCGCTTTTTCTTGACTTTACCCCCTTCTAGTTTAGACGTCTGTCCGGAAAGTAGATTTAAAGTATGAGAAGCATAATTGTTCGTAAATGCTAATAACGATTTTTAATACATATAGATTTTTTGCGATTTTGTACTATATAATTTCTAAAAGTAATACGCGCAAGCGCACGTGTGTGTGCGCGTAATGTGTGGGTAGGTAAACCAAGCTTAATTCTATTAAATTATATTTCATCGAAAACAAACGGGATTATATTAGTGGAATAATTCTAGTCATTATAAACTAAACATGCAATATGGTGGAATAATTC